TCTCTCTCTCTCTCTCTCTCTCTCTCTCTCTCTCTCTCTTTCACTATCACACACACATACACAGACACACACATACACACAAACACACACACGGGCGCCAGCGAGCGCGCGTGCACACACACACACAAACACACACACGCACACATACTCAAGCACCCACACTTTCACACCCGCAAACACACACACAAAGACACACACAAGCACAATGTACGTTCATGCGTACAGTATCATCTTCTTTCAAGCAATCACTATATCACAAGATTAATCCCATACCCTTTATTCCTTTTGACCCCCCCCCCCTTTCAACACAAATTTTCTCTACACGTTGTATAAAATAAAGACTATTAGCCTACAACAAAATGTTTATGGGTATTTTTTTCCCTCTTGTGACATAGCCATCAGCTGTGGCCATCCGGGGTCCATTCGTAATGGTTACATCGAGGGCCGGGATTTCAGCTACGACAAACGCATTCGCTTCCGATGTAACGCTGGCTATGAGCTGGTGGGTCACGACTCACTCTACTGCACAGAGTATGGGGACTGGGACGTGGACAAACCAGAGTGCATAGGTAAGTTTCCAGACTTGTCTACAACACGAAAATTTTAAAACATTTTCATTTTCAATCCCTCACACAAACGCACTTCTTTTCTTTCTTTTTTTTGGGGGGGGGGGTCAAACGGTTCTATTTTTGTGTAGATTATACATAATTGCGGCAACTAATACTGTTGTTTATCAATAGTTTTTCAAGAAACGTTCAAACCTAATTCAGAGGAAGTGGTTATATTAACCCATGTATCGCTATTCTCACCCCCTCGTTTGATTTGAAAATGACCCGAGAGGGATCAGGGCAGAGGTTAGTGGGCATGACCCTGGGGACGGGGGGTTCAGGGTGAATGCTCCACAGCATCATGTTCGTCACAGTTCGTGTCCGAATAGTCACAGTCAGGGTTGTCAATTGGGAGCTAAATCCCAGAAATTTGGCTCTTTTGGATCGTGTCTGGCCCGGAGAATTTCATTTGTCTCTCTGGCTCTTTTTTTAAAACTCCAAACTCCAGATGTTCAAGAAGAAGGGGAAAGACGAGTCAAGCAAAAAAGAAAAAAAAAGAATAAAAGAAAAAATATGAAAGTGAAGAAAAGAGCTTGGATTGTTTAATTATCAAACTAGTTAACAAGATTATTATATTTTATTGTCTCATGCTTGTGTCTCGTTACGTTTATACATGCTCTCTGTTCCTTGAACCATAATTTATTGCGTGCAGGCAGAGAGTGAGAGGTCTGCCATCGTTAAGTGGGCAAACAACGAATGGTCCGACCGGCGGCCGGTCTCACATCCTGCTCAGTAGCGTCGGTAGTGAGCCCTTTTTTATTACTGGAGAGGCGAAAAATGTTTTTACATTAGTATTATTCGTTCCCAACCACATGCGGTAAGCCACCAAGGGCCAAGGTGATTATATCGGCCTGCGAGAGGTCACGGACTCATGTCCACACCAGGGTG